GGAGCACCAGGAGCACCGGGGGTAGAAGAGCCAGGAGCACCAGGAGCGCCAGGAGCGCCAGGAGTGGAGGAGCCGGGAGCACCAGGAGTGGAGGAGCCGGGAGCACCAGGAGCACCAGGGATAGATTCACCAGGCTGTCCGGGAGTGGTAGAGCCAGGAGTAGACGGAGTAGATCCGCCGGGCACGACAGGAACAACAGGCACAACGCCGGTGGGAGATCCAGGGACGGAAGGAACAGTGCCCGTGACACCCGGAGCAACAGGCACCGGCTGGGTTCCGCTGGGGATGCTGGTGGTGTTCAGGAAAGGACCGGGCTTGGTGGTAGGAACAGTGCCGTTGGCGGGGATGGTGTGACTGGGGAAAGGAGCTGGGGGAAGTCCAGTGCCGATGATGGGGGCAGTGCCGTGGCTGGTGGTTGGCTTGATGGGAGCAGTGCCATGGCTGGTAGTCGGGTTGATCGGAGCAGTGCCATGACTGGTGGTTGGTCTGATGGGAGCAGTGCCATGACTGGTGGTCGGTCTGATGGGAGCAGTGCCATGACTGGTGGTCGGTCTGATGGGAGCAGTGCCATGACTGGTGGTTGGTCTGATGGGAGCAGTGCCGTGGCTGGTAGTCGGCTTGATGGGAGCAGTGCCGTGGCTGGTGGTTGGCTTGACAGGAATGACAGTACCAGTAGGGTTGGGCTTAGGCTGGGGCTTCACGCCAGTGGGCACTGGCTCCTTGCCGGTGGGAACAATAGTCTTGCCCTCCTCCTCGCACCATGTGCTGGTCAAAGTAACGGTGTTGGTGAGAGTGATAGGCACCGTAAGAGTCTTGTTGCCAGAGACAACAACAGTAGTGGTTTCTGGAAGTTATATTAGACACGATCTCCTCGAGGAAGTACATGAGAGCAAGACAAACCTGGGGTCTCGGTGGTCACATAGGTAGTAGTCTTGGTGATGGTACGGGGAGGGTCGGTGGTGAGAACAAGCTTCTTGGTGGTGGCTGGCTTCTTCTCATCGGGCTGCAGGCTTCTTAGCATGTCAACCGGAATGGGCACACGTTTGCATTAAGCTTACCTCTCCGCCACGCCCTTGGATGACACCGGCAAGGGCTGGAGCAGCCAAAGCCAGGAGTGCAATAGTTCCCTTGACCATTTCGAAGATTGAAGTTTTTTTTTTTTTTTTGATGCAAAAGGTTCAAAAAACACAGCTTTTAATATAAACGAGGGATGAAGAACAGCGAGTGGCTTCCGTACGGCACGAGGTGGAATAGAGAAGGAAGGAACGATCTGATGAAGCAGAACATCTCGACCTTTAAATCTTCTTGACGAAGAGCCTGATGACTACTCACACGAAGTTCGTCACTGACGATGGTGATAATGCCACAGTAGTATCCTTTGGTCAGCGAAGTACGGGGCAAGGGTTGTATGGTTCAGGAGCAAAAGTCAAGCTCATCGATGCTAGCTCTGGTAGGCTACGAGACGCAGATTGAGGCTAACCAAGCCATGGATGCGAAAGGAACCACCGATGTGATGCTGTGATCCAAGCCAAAGGGAATCTCATATGTCGAGCTGTGGCGCGAATGTAACGTCTTGCTACATCTTCTTGGACAGAGGCCCACAGTACCCACGTCAGTGAGCCACGATCCTCGGACACGATGCTGGATGACTGTACTTAGATAGGAAGTCAAGAGCAGTATTGTCGTCATGACTTTGTGCAAGTACTCCAGTCTTCAAATTGGGAAGCTGGACACCTCCCGGCTATCGCCGTGACCTATGCTAGTGCAAGCCAAACTAATCAAGCAAAGCGGGGACAAGCCTGCTGAGAAGGGAAGTGCTACCAGATATTGTGATCCAATACGGAGTATTGAGCCCTGAGAAAGCTAAGTTAAGCTTGTAATGATGCATGGATTGGCTCGTAAAGCTCTGTAGCTGACACATTCGAAAAAGCTTTTCAGGAATGTGGAGTCGCTCGAGATCCGCCTGCCTGTAACGTTGCAGGTAAGTTTGTCGGGTCAAGGGTCAGGGCAGGGACAGAAAGCAAGAAAGCGATTACAGCACAGAGCAGTACAGGCGGATGCTCACGAAGCACATTGGTAGCTGCGTTGAGCATCCTATCTGAACAATGTAGTCCATATGGTCTTATGACGAGATCTAGGCCATGGCATCATTGAGGAATGTCAATCGAAATCGAGATAGGTCGCTGCCACACAGTCGAATAGGCTATCTAAGAAGACTTCAAGCACCATTGAGCTTTGAAGGAACCGAATTGTGGACCGGCCGTTTTCGAAGCTGGTGAGAGAGTCGTTGAGATGAGAAGCCGGTAATGTTTCATTGAAGTGAGTGGATAACGTGGCTATCGAGGTAGTCCTATGAGAGCAATGTAAGACGTCATCAGAGAAAAGCTCGTTGAGCCTCTTGACAGGAACCAAGGCCGCAAGCGGTGATAGCAGATGGCAAGCGTTCCTGCAGGGGTGGTACCAGACAGAACTTGGCAAACGTGATTGTGAAGCTCTGCAGGAGCAAAGTATAACTTACTTCATACTTCGTAACCTACGGAGTACTTCGTTGCTTCTCAGTGGGTCGGCGGTACCTTGCTGACTCATCGCCGCTTGCAGCAATGGATCACGTGTTGATAAGCCCCCTTCAACTCAGCTATCGTATCAGGGTTTAGGGCAAGCGGCGCGTGAGAACGCGTCTTGGAGCGCGTTAATGGTTTGCTGCGGTAGCTGAGAGATGCTGTGATCTCCGATTGTTGTCTAACAACAAGACAATCCACAACAAACCCCTATGATGCCTCACTCAGTGTCCTCGCAAGGCTTATCAGCCGATCGCAAAGATGAGGAGGTTCTACCAGACGCTCCTCCAGCGGAAACCACCTCCGAAGACAAGACCGATGCACCCGACAATGCAGCAGCAGGCGTAAAATTGGAAGACCTGTTCAACGATGATGACGATGATGAAGAATACCCAGCTTCGAGCGCACCAGCACTCCACAATCAGGACACGATGCAGACAGAGTAGGTTTCGTACACGCTATCAAGGCATACTGGTACTGATAGAAGTTGCGCGTTCAGCGCCGCCCCTGCTCCCGGTCCAGAGGTAGACACAGACACCATGCTCGCATTCTACCAACGCCTCTTCCCGTTCCGCTACCTATTCCAATGGCTAAACCACGGAATTGTTCCTTCGCCCGATTTCGGCAATCGCGAATTCGCCCTCACACTCCAGAACGATGCTTACCTCCGATACCAATCATATGCAACGGCAGATCTGTGAGTACTGCGGGATTGACCCGCAAGTGCCATATCAGAACTCTGTTCTAACGGGTAGACAGCTTCCGCAAAGATATCATCCGCATGAACCCCTCTCGATTTGAAATCGGACCTGTCTACAACACCAACCCCCGAGATCGCAAGACGCTCCGCGGCGGCCAGCTGAAGCCAATCTCCAAGGAACTCGTCTTCGATATCGATTTGACGGACTACGATGACATTCGGTCCTGCTGTACGAAGGCCAACATCTGTGGCAAATGCTGGGCATTTGTGACCATGGCCATCAAGGTCGTCGACACGGCCCTCCGCGACGACTTCGGCTTCGAACACATCCTCTGGGTCTACTCGGGTCGTCGTGGTGCGCACGCCTGGGTGTGTGACCCGCGCGCGCGCAGCCTCCCGGACGACCGACGCAGGGCCATCGCCGGGTACCTGGACGTGGTGCGGGGCGGCAACAGCAGCGGCAAGCGGGTGAACCTCAAGCGGCCACTGCACCCGCACATGGCGCGCAGCCTTGACATCCTGAAATCGCACTTCGCCCAGACGACGCTGGTCGACCAGGACACCTTCCTCAGCCCCGAGCAGGCGCAGCGCCTGCTGGCCCTCCTGCCGGACAAAGGGCTGAACGAGTCCCTGCGCAAGAAGTGGGAGTCCTCGCCCGACCGCACCAGCGCCAAGAAGTGGGCCGACATCGACGCCCTCGCCAAGACGGGCAAGAGCAGCACCTTAAACCCGGCCACGCTCCGCGACGCCAAGCAGGACATCGTGCTGGAGTACACCTACCCCCGGCTGGATTCCGAGGTCAGCAAGAAAATGATCCACCTGCTCAAGAGCCCGTTCGTCATCCATCCGGGCACGGGCCGCGTGTGTGTCCCCATCGACGCCCGCAAGGCAGAGCAGTTCGATCCCCTCACGGTGCCGACGGTCACGCAGCTGCTCGCCGAGATCGATGCGTGGGATGCGGAACATCCGAGCACCAATGCCGGCCCGGAGGCGGCCGAGGGCGAGGGTAGTGTAGCGGACTCGGACGCGAGGGGCAGCCGCAGGGTACAGGACTATGAGAAGACGAGCCTGAAGCCATACATCGACTATTTCCGCTCCTTCATCGCCGGTCTTCTCAAGGAAGAGCGCGGTGGCAAACGGGAGCGAAATGAGGACGTCGAGGAGACAAAGCCTGAGAGTATGGAGTTCTAAGCTTCTGAGTTTCCTCGTAGACGAATATGGTCGTTTACGGTTCTAATTCTCTCAGGTCCTAGCCTGGGTAACATTATTTTTGGGTATGATCTTGGAGCGATTTGGGAGTATGTCCTTTGAAAGTGAATATTTCAGGCGTTCGAAGAAGGGTAACAGGGCTTATTTACCTGTGTTCTGTGTAGATATTGTCATGGTTCTTACTTTTCTGTTCATTTGTGACTGCAGATTGAGTTCAATGAGTGGTTATGATATTTAATACGAATCGACAGGAGCCATGTTTCCAGTCAAAATTACATTTTTTTGTGAAATTTGATTCTATGTTGTTACATAGTAGGACTGTAAGACGAGCAGCACTACCTCATTATTGACCATAAAGACCTGCTTTGATGAAAACAGGAGTGACAGATGATATATTTGTGAGACTCAAAACGCATCATTCAATAGCATGCTGTGCAGGAATCGGGAAGAACGTCTGTGTCCGCCTGATCTAAGCAGAGACGAAGTTCTTGACATCTAAACAGATATTTAGCAAATGATTATAGGGAGGAGATGTCGGTGGGTTACGTACTCTCGAGCCAGCGGACATACTCCTTCTGCTCCTTGACCTGGATGTAGTCGGGGATCATGGTGGCAAGCTCGGCGTTGATACCTCTCACGTCAAGGTAGCGATCAATGAAGTTCTGAAGCTCCTCGTCGAGGTTCTCGAAAGGAGGACCGGCGTACAGGCTCTGCCTAGCCCAGTCCTTCTCGGCGGTCTGAGCAAGAGCCAAGTCGGGCTTGTTGAAGTAGGAGACCTCCTCAACCTGGAACACGCCATCAGTGCACATGGTCTGGACCAGGAGAGCGCCGCTGCCGGGCTTCTCGATGGTGATGTTGACACGAGCGGGGAAACCGGGCTCAAGGTCGTCGATGTCGACCTCGTCGCGGTCGGAGGGAGCGATGCGGTCCTCGGGAAGCTGGGAGATGCCTGCGCGACCTTGGTTAGCAGGCTGGTGGCTTCCGAAGTCGTTTGCGTCCATCAGACCATCAGCGGAGAAATCCTCCTGCTCGCTCAGGTTTTGGAGGTCTGCAACGGTGAAAGTAAGGCGGATCCTATAGAAAATTACAAATAATTAGAATTATAAATAAGGAGAGAAACGCGGGCACAAGCTTTCTTACTCTTCCTTGCCGAACTTCTTGGTCAAAGTGACTTCCTGCTCGCCGGGAATATCCTTGACCTAGAAAACCCATAAAATGTGAGCTAATGCGGTCAACAGACGATGGTCCAACAGAACGTACCTCCCAAGAGTTGTTTTGCAGAACATACTGGATGTTCTGAACGGAGCCTTCCAGGTCCTCAAGGCCGGAGGCCTTCTCGTGCTTGAGCTCATCCTCAAGCTTGGCAACAAGCTCGACGTCACCTATTATCTCGTACAATGAGTAGTTAGTATTGTGCGCCAGAATGAAAAGTCATCTACAGTCCATGATCGAAGCTTCCAATGCTTGAAAAGAACAGGAATGTGGATACAAGGTAACGCGGAGAAGCTCGAAAAACAAGAGGGGAAAAATGAATTGATGCGTTTGAATGGAAGGTTGCAGAATCGCCATCATTCGCCCAAGAAAGGTTCTCTTACCCTCGCCGGGGGCCTGCTTGAAAGCCCGAGAGGTCGAAAAGGCAGCATAGGCAGGCTTGGTAATCTGCTTCAAG